AGGCAATGAGATTGGCACAGGATAGAGCAGGGTTTAGGGCTGTTGTACATAGGGTCGCTATGAGTCGCAAATGACTCGACAGCACATAACAACAACAGCCCTATGTGTGTAATAATTAGAGAGTTCTCTTCCAGGTCATTATTAAGTGATCCTTTCCAGACCCTGTAAGTTCAGTAATGTCCTACTTTATACTTGAGGAAGTAGAATCTGACTCTGAAATGTGTTCCGTAATTTCCTATAGCCAATAGGTGGTAGAGTCGTGATTTAGAACACTGTTGTTAGGTGTCATTGAGTACGACTCCCAGTGACACTGTCAACTACAGATTTAGACTTTTTCCTGCACCATCTTCACGATCTTTGACATCCTCCAGCCCATAGTTATAGTCACTGGGTCAGTCTCTCTTGTTGAGGATCCCCTTCTTTTTCTCTGACTCTATGCGTTTCCCAGCATGATTCCCCACCCCACCCCCAGATCATTATTGTTGTTGCTGTTGTTATGTGCCGTCAAGTCACTTGCAATTCATAGTGACCCTATGTACAACAGCCCTAAACTCTGATCTCTCCTGTGCCAATCACATTATCTCTGATACACCCATCCCAATTACCCCAGTCACTGAATCAGTCCACCTCATAGAGGGCCTTCCGCTCCTGCACTGTCCCTCCACCCTCCCAAGCATGATTTCCCTTTCCATGGACTGGTCCCTCCTTACAACATGTCCAAAGTATGTCAGATGAAACCCCAGAATCCTTGCCTCCAAGGTGCAGCCTGGCTTAACCCTCTCTAGGATGAATCTGTTTGTTTTCCTAGCAGTCCATGGTACCCTCAACACTCTTCTCCAGCACCACAGCTCAAAGCCATCAAGTCCTCTCCTATCCTCCCTAGTCATTGTTCAACTCTCTGATGCATAACAAGTGATTGCAAAGACCGTGGCCTGTATCAGACACACTTTAGTCTCCAGAGAGACAAAATTGCTCTTCAGTACTTTAGAGAGGTCCCTAACAGCAGACTTTCTCATTGCATACGTCTTTTAATTTCCTGGCTGCTGGTGCCAAGAGTGTTGATTTTGGAGCCAAGCCGACTGAAGCTGTGAACAGTCTCAGTCTCTTCACCATCCATCCTGATGCTGCCAATTGGTCTAGTGGTGAGACCCCAGATCATTATTAGTTCTTATTAATTCCAACTCTGTTGACTGTTTTTTCTCTTACCACTTTTTCTGGTTTATGATCCTGGTTAACCTTCTCCACACCTTCCTGTATTCATTTCCTAGGACTCCTATAAAAAAAAAAACCAAAACAAACAAACCATAGATGAATGAGTTAAAACACTAGAAATTATCTTGTTCCTTCATGTATGCTGAGAGTTTTAATTTCATTTTGAAACAGGTTGGTCTGGGGGAAGCATTATTAGAAGCAGAAACTATTGAAGAACAAGAATCTCCTGTTAACTGTTTTAGGAAATTATTTGGTAAGTAAAATTGTATTTACAGAAAGAAAAATAATTCTTCACATTATTAAATATGATTTCTATCCAGAAAAAGCATTTTAGGGATTGCAGTGCAGCTTCTTAACCACCAGAATTCCCATTGGAAAAAGCCTTTTAAGCAACTTTTAAATTTGTACTATGTACCACCAGATGCTCTGCCGGGGAAGGAGGGGCACTCTCCTCCTGTACCAGTCAGATCTGATTTGACGGTACACGCACACAAAAATAATAAAAAAATTAAAAAAAAATTGTACTATGTAATACTTGATACTTCTGAAAAAAATTATATAGCCTTGTTTTTATGTGTGAAGTATAGTAAATATCTGAACCTACTGCCCTTGTCAATAATGTAGAATTTACTTCTGTGTTTGCTCCTTGACTATCTAGTGTCCTTCTCCCCAGCAATTTTTAGAAATGCGATAAAATCTCTTTAATAGGTATATTAAATACTACATTATTTTGCCAGAACCCTAAGTCAAACAGATAAGCTATTCTTTTTTTCATTACTGTTTGAATTAAAGTTTACAGAGCAGATTGCTATTCCAGTTAACCATTCATTCACATAATATTTCATGACGTTGACTATACTTCCACAGTCTTACCTTTTTTTATTCTTATTTTCCCCTTTAACAGTTTGTGATGTCCTTCCTCTAATAATTAATAACCATGATGTTCGATTGCCTGCCAATTTATTATATAAGTACTTGAACAAAGCAGCTGAGTTTTATATCAATTATGTCACTCGGTCTGCTCAGATAGAAAATCAACATCAAGGTAAGTGTGACTACTCTGAAGTTTTATTTAGACAAACATTAGTAAAATTGCAAACTTAGAAATTCCTCATCATTCTACTTATCCTCTTCTGAATGCCTACCAGTTTGATGGTGTTTCCAAACTATGGTACCTAGAAAATAATACTGCAGTAAAGAGAATAAAGTTTTTTAGAACCAGTTCAACTGCTTAATTGAAAACTTTGCTGAACTTTATATGTGTACAACAGCTCAAAATCCATTTCTTACACCACTGGCTAGTTGTGCATCTCTGAACAGAACATACCTCTTGTTGGTATTCTGTGCTCTTAACTTTTGAATAAAGTAACTCATTGCCATCGAGTCTGAACAAACTTGTAACTGACCCTCTCTTGGATTTCTGAGGCTGTAATCACACTGGTGGAAATTGCCCATCTTTCTCCCTAGATGCCGCTGGTGGATTCAAACCACCAAGAGGCCCAGCCTCTAGGAACTAGGCCATTGGAATGAAGACTCGGACTTTGACCTTTCTGTTAAGTGCCACATAATTAATAGATACTAATTAATTGTCAGCTATTTTTTTTTCTTATAACAGGAACCCAAGATACATCTGATTTAATGTCACCTAGCAAACGTAGCTCTCAGAAATATGTGATAGAAGGACTGACTGAAAAATCATCCCAAATTGCAGACCCCTGGGAGAGGTTGTTTAAGATTTTGAATGTTGTTGGAATGAGATGTGAATGGCAAATGGATAATAAAGGAAGACGGTAAAAAATTGTTTATTTCTCAGTTCACTTAACAAACCTTTAGATTGAACAATCTCAGAATGCTTATAAGAAATAAAAATATTTCTTTTAAAAGTACGTAAGATCTGGTGTGAGAAACAATGTGTGTGAACCTTGTAAGTAAATCAGTATAAAATAATTTTATTTTTAAAAAAGTATATAGCATCTAGGTATACTTTGGACAAATTCTCTTGTACTTGGTATATGCACAAAGGACATTAAAGTGGTTTTCTCCTTCATAGGGTCGCTATGAGTCACCTGTGACTCGACAGCACTTAACAACAACAACAACAACAACTTTATTAAAAGATTTCCGTCTAAAGTTTAAACTCTTAAGATGATGAATTTTGAGACTGGCCATTCAGAGAAAAGAGAAGTTATCTAACATATTTGTGCCATGATTTCTTGCTCTGATCAAAGCTGTAATTCAGAAGGGGAAGTTTGTTCTTCATATGCAGACTGTAGGAGTCCCTGAGTGTCATGAGTGATTAATTCATTCAGAAATTCCTTGGAAGAAATCCTAGAAGGTCACATCCACAGACTCCTAAGGAGCACAGTTTATTCTACAACGCATTGAGTCTCCATGAGTGCAAAAATTAAGAAATATAATGTCTAGAGTGACATTACAGGAGCCCTGATAGGGTCCTATGTGTTGTGCGTGTCTGCTAACTGAAAGGGTCAGACCAGTGGCTCCTTAAGGAAAGAGACAGTCTCTTGCAAAGATTTACACCTCAGAAACCCAAAGGTGGGTCAGTCTAGTCTGAATCCACTTGGTGGCAGTGTGGGTTCTTAGGAATTTAGATGTACTTGGTAAAAATAATAGTTCTATTAATAGTGGTTCTATCAGTGATTTTTTTTTCTGATAAGCCCAGAGTAATTAAGTTTTCTCTTTTTTTCAGAAGCTATGGTGATATATTACATAGAATGAAGGATCTTTGCAGATACGTGAACAACTTTGAAAATGAAGCACATGCAAAATATAAAAACCAAGTGATTTATTCCACTATGTTGGTCTTCTTTAAGAATGCCTTTCAGTATGTCAACAGCATACAACCATCTCTCTTCCAAGGTTAGTTTAAGAATTTTAGTGTTGCCTCCAAATTTTGAAGGTACTCTCAGTAAAGGTGATGCTGAGACTTTAAATGTTACCATTGATCTTGGACCCAACTAACTGCAGAACGTTTTGTTTTGGTTTTACTTGATAGTTGTTTTTTATAAGTCCATTTTCATTACAAATTCCTATATCAAAGGATGTAATGGAACTGTGAAAGTATATACAAGTACTAAATGTCTGTTTTGAAAAAGCAGCAAACAGCAATGCATTGAGATAGGTTTCAGAAGTTCTTCAACCCCCGTGCTGAACAGTGAAGTTTCAAGCATGTTAAGCAGAGGCACTTGATAGAGCCTTCAACCCCCAAAGTTAAATTCTTTATGTTGTGGAAAGTTTGAAAACTTAAAATAATAGAATGAAATCACCCACAGCCCTTTTAGTATAATACAATTCACATTTTTGTAAAATGTTTTTTAACTGTTCATATTTTTTCATTTTGTTTGGAATTTGTAAGCATAATTTATTATAATTTTGTCGTCTGTCTTTTTTATAATTCTGTGGTTCATAATCATAGTAAAATATTTGTAGATGTTTAATAACAAGTGCAAATACAAAAATAGCACTCGTATTTCACCACTGAGAAACTTTAACAACAGCTTGATGTATATCCAATCTTTTGTAAAATGATATACATATACTTGTTTGTTTATCTAGTTGCTGTCAAACAGAATAGCTCTTTATTAACTTTTATTTCCAGGTGACAGTTGAGTTAACATTTGCTTCCGCCTCCTCATCCCTAGGTCCTAATGCTCCAAGCCAGATTCCATTGGTTCTTCTTGAGGATGTTTGGAATGTATATGGCGATGTAGAAGTCGATCGTAATAAACACATACATAAAAAGAGGAAACTAGCTGAGGGAAGAGAGAAAACCATGGTAATCCTTTCAGAAATGATTATGCAAGAATTTTATGTTTATGGTTGCTAGAGATACAGCTTTGTTAAATGGGAGTTTAGAGCTAAAATGTTAACGCTTCAGTTTGTAATTCTAAAATGTAATTACGCTCTATCTCAGAGGTTCTCAGCTGGAGGCAGTTTGCCTCCTGTAAGACAGTTGCTATTCTGAAGATGTTTTTGATTGTAAAAGCTTGATGGGGAAGTGTTGTTAGCATCTTGTCAGTAGAAGCTGAGGATGCTGCTAAAAGCCTACAGTGCACAGAAGAACCTCCTATGACAGAGAATTAGCTGGCCTCCCAAAGGCTGCCTGGCTGTCTACAGCTAGGTCTAGGTTGTTGTTGAATGATGACTCTGATGCCTGGTAAGATGGAAGGTCAGCACACAGAGAAAGAACCTCAATGAGATGGGTTGACACAGTGACTATAGCAGTAGGATCAGGAGTGTTGGAGGTGAGGAAGTTGGCTCAGGATAGGGCAAGGCTCAGAGCTGCTGTTCATAGAGTCACTATGAGCTGTAGACGACTCAACAGCACAGAATATCAAGAGATCAGTAGTGCTAAGATCAGGAAACCCCGACATGTATTATTTAGTCTGTTTTGACTAGCATCAGTTATATTTTTTAAAGCACAAGCAAAAGATTTCTCCTCCATTGGACAACTAACCTGAGCACTGGTAGATACTGACCTCAGAATGAAACGTCCCAGAGTGTCCAGAGTGGGAAGTAATTAAAACCCACCGGAAAATGCAAGAAAGGTTTTATGAAGAGGAGCTAGTATTTTAAAGTAGCTTTGAAGAATGTAAACAATTTTGTCCGTTCCAATTGGGAATTCGAATTTGTCAAGAAGCAGCAGTTTACACAGGGATGCAACAGATCATAGAGTGAAGAATGATCACATTGTAGCAGTCTATCTGGAAGGTGGCCAGACAGCAGCCTGTGCTGGACAGTGAGATTCAGCTTTTTAATAGAGGCACTGTTTCTTTTGGTAGAATCTTTAGTGGAGGCCCCAAGTGTAACATAAAAAAAGTGTAGATGGTCTGGTTTATAATATCAGATGTTATTTATAGGCTTTGCTAACTACCATCTCTTGCAAGTAGTCAACCCTGTAAGCAGTGTTAAAACAGCCCCAGAAAAGACAAAAATGCTATGGCTATGTTCCAGTAAAGCTTCATTTAAAAACAGGGCTAGGTTTGGCCTCCAGGCTATGCTTACCTCTACTGCAGTTGAAATACTCATGGGAAACTCATCCGAATTTTGTCTATCTGCTTCCCTTCCCTTGAGTCTCATTTCTCCTGCCTCCTCTAGTCATTTTACCTGACTCTGGGCATAATGAGAAATGTGCCTTAATCAGATTAAATTGATGTTCATGTACTATAGGAGGTCCCTGTACTATAGGAGGTCCTGAAGCTCTTGCTGCAGAGGGTCAAGGACTGCAACCCTCAATACGGATTGAAGTTTAACATCAAAAAGACAGAGATTCTCACCACTGGGCCAGTTGCCAGGACCATGAAGGATGGAGAAGAGATTGAGGTTGTTAACAATTTCAACTTGCTTGGCTCCATAATTAACACACTTGGCACCAGCAATCTAAAAGACTGCTGCACTGGGAAAATCTGTCAAGGACCTCTCCAGAGTACTGAGAAGCAATGGTGTCTGTCTAGAGACCAAATTGAGTCTGATACAAGCTGTAGTCTTCGCAGTTATTTGCTATGCATCAAAGAGTTGGACAATGACTAAAGATGACAGAAGAAGAATTAATGCCTTTGAGTTCTAGTGCTGGAGAAGTCTTGAACATACCATGGACTGCCAAGAGAATTAATAGTTCTGTCTTGGAGAGAGTGAAACCAGGTTTCTTCTTGGAGGCTAGGATTCTAAAGTTCCATCTCACACACTTTGTTCATGTGGCGAGGAGGGATCAATCCTTGGAGAAGGACATCATGCTCAGAAGGGTGGAGGGACAGCGTAGGAGAGGAAGACCCAGGATGAGATGGATTGATTATAGTAACTGGGGCAATAAAGATAGGTGTGTTGGAGTCAGTGAGACTGGCTCAGGACAGGGCAGACTTCAGAGCTGTTGTACATAGGGTTGCTAATAGTCACAGGCAACTCAATGGTATATAACAAGATAATGTAATAATGGATTAGATCTGTGAAGCACAGCAGTTACTAATATTTATAAAATTATTAGCTCACTTGGAAGACTTAACTATGTTTCTTAACAGGAAAATAGACACTTTTACAGATAAATTCAGATACTGATAGAGACTCAGAAACCCAGCCATGAGCTCCAGGTTAAGAACTCTGTGCTAACCGGCGTCCTGCTGGTTAGCTCTGTCTGATCTTTCCTGCCCTCCTGACGTTCCCAGGTGGGGTTAATTCTCTCTAGCTCTCCCTCTGGTTTCTGATGATGCATGGAGTATCCAAATTCAGACCTCAGTCACCTCTTCCTCTTGTGCAAGTAACAGGTAGTATTTTGCTAATTTTAACCTAAACTAGTGATGTGTTTCTATATTCCCATATAAGTATTACCAAATAGGTCATTTCTGAATCATAGCTGTCCTCTAGGACAGAGCAGAACTGCCTCATAGCATTTCAAGGCTGTAATCTTTACAGAAGTAGATTATACTGCATTGATTCTCCTGAAGAGCAATCATTAGTTTTCAACCAGTGACTTTTCACTTAGCAGCCTTGCACTTAACCATTGCACCATCTGGACTCCTCTATTCCCAAATAAGCCAGTATATAGAAAACATCCCCAGTCCATCTGTTCCTTCCCCTCTCTACCACTCCCTTTTCAGTTCAGGCCACATAATCTCTTTCTTAGTCAGTCATCTTGTTAACCCCTAGTTTTACTTTCACTCCTTATCATTTCTCCTCAACATTACAAGCAAAGCAGTCTTTTTAAAGCATAAATCTCTCCTCTGCTTTACAACCTCAAACAGCCTCCCATCACATATAGATGAAAATCCAAACAAGCTCTTCCCTTTACCTTCCACAGCATTTCATCATCAGGCCCTCAATGCTGTAGACACATTTTCTTCATACTCCTCTAAGCGGCCTCTGGTAGCCTAGTAGTAAGAAGACAATCCCAAAGACACTCAGTTCAAATCCACCAGCTGCTCTGGAGGAGAAGGATGGGCAGTATCTTCCCATGCAATTTACTGCATTTGAAAACCTGCTGGAAGGTCACTGTCAGTGGGACCCAACTCCATGATACACAACAACAAGCCCTTTCCTACCTTAAGGCTTTGGCACTTGTCTGAATTATGTTTGATGAGTTGAGTGTTTTTCCTTCATAATCTCTGCCAGGCTGGGTCTTGTCATTTGAGATAGCACACCAAATACATCTCTCTCTGAGTCTTCCCTCCTGTACCTTCATTTAAAGAAGTCACCTGATTTTCTCCTCTTGATACTTTAATTCTCTGCACGGCCTTCATTGTTACCTCTTTTTTTCTTGTTTTGTTTCTTGATTATTTTTTTTTTTAAATCTGTTGTCTATGTCGTCTTCAATAGAGTACAGGCTCTGTGGGGCCAAAGACCTTGTTTGTCTTGTCCAACACTGTTTCCCAGGCATCCAAACAGTGCCTGACCGTAGCCCATAGCGGATATTCAGTGAACATTTATTAAATTAATAGATTCACCTCTCAGGTTTGAGCACTGATTAATGATCTCTTGTTAAGTGTCATCAGGTTGCTTGCGACTCATAGCAAACCAGTGTACAACAGCTCTGAACCTCGCTCTATTCTAAGCCAACCTTGTCTCTGACACACCTACCCCCATTACCCCACTCACTGAGTCAACTCATCTCATCAAGGGTCTTCTCTCTTACACTGCCACTCCATCCTCCCAAGCATGATGTTCCTTTCCAAGGACTGGTTACTCCTTGCAACTTGCCCAAAGTATGTCAGTCGGAGCTTCCAAATCCTTGCTTCCAAACAGCAGCCTGGTTTCACCTTCTCCAGGACGAACCCATTTGTTCTCTTTGCAGTCCATGGTATATTCAGTACTCTTCTCCAGCACCACAGCTCAAAGGCATCAGTTCTTCTATCATCCCTAGTCATTGTCCAGCTTTCTGATGCATAGCAAGTAATTGCAAAGACTATGGTCTAAGTCAGGCACACCTTAGTCTGTCTCCAGACTGACATCATTGCTCTTCAGCACTCTGGAGAGGTCCCTGACAGCAGACTTCCCAGTGCAATTCATCTTTTGATTTCCTGGCAGCTGGTACCAAGAGGGTTGATTATGGAGCCAAGCAAACTAAAGCTGTTAACAGCTTTATCTATCATAATGCTGCCAATCAGTCCAGCGGTGAGAATCTTTGTTTTCTTGATGTTGAACTTCAATCCATATTGAAGGCTGGATTCATTGACCTTCTGCAGCAAATGCCTCAGGCCCTACTCAGTTTCAGCAAGCAAGGTGTGTCATCTGCATAACGCAGGTTGTTGTTGAGTCACTTCTCCTAGAGCCCGGCCTCCCAGATGATCTGTTCCACATATATATTAAAATGTATGGAGATAGGACACTTCCCTGGCATACACCTTGCCCTGTTTTAAACTGTGTTGTTGAATGTATAGTTGTTTAACGTTTCTGGTTTGTGTAGTCTTCCTTCTGATTTTTACCTGTCATATGTATTCATCTGGTAGGTCCTGTTGTTCTCCTCTAACCTCCATCTAGTTTTTTGTTATTATGTCTTTGCTTTACTCCACTTTGTTACCACTGTTGTTGTTAGGTGCCCATGAGTCTGAGTCGAAACCACTCATAACAACCCTATGAGTGAAAGATCTGAGCTCTGTTCATAAGAGTTCCAGAGGCAAGCTATTTTGGAAGTGGATGCCATTCCTGCTAGGTGGTGTTGGCATTGGCCTGTGCATTGCTGTACAGAGGTAATTCGTGGTTGCTGTGATGCTAAACACTCTGACACTGATGTGTCAAATGTGATAATGGTTGCCTATGGTGGACAGTGATTGGTGGAGCTCCCTGATTAAAACAAGCTTGGAAGCAGGAGTGGCGTCCACTTCTGAAATGGCTTGCTTACAGAAACTCTTATGAACAGTGCTCAGGTCTTTCATTCATAGGGTTGCTATGAGTGGTCTAGGACCTGATGGCACCTAACAACAACTCATTTTTAGAAGTACTTGGAGTTCCATACTATTCCCATCACTTCCGGGGATTTTCCTATAAACCCTGTATCTCATTTCAAGATAGTATTGGTTTCCAAAAGCTGCAGTGCTAATGTACTCATTACTTAACGTTAGTCTGTCACATTAGAGTGTCAGTATTTGGCACAGAGCAAAACCCTAAAGAACCATAAAATCTATAATACCTTTTAGGTCGACTGGTTTGGATTAAGAAGGGGATTTGGATATGTGCTGTTGTTGGGAGAGGATAGGAATATGGAAGCTAAGCAGGTTGAGACCCCAGGGATCAAGAACGAGCAGTTGTTCCAAGTTCTAGAAGCTAAAGTTAGGGAGAAAGAAAAGAAGTGGATAATAAAAACTGCCTATTTTCTAAAATTAGCTTGGAAAGTGGACCTTTGAACTTAAATACTTAGTTTTAAATTAATTTTGAGGATTAAAAATCTTTAAGTAGAATTCAGTTATGTCATTAAATTAATAAAATTACTTAAGTGTGACGAAAGAGTCAAATTCTCCACAAAATAAAATTAGCTATTGCTGTTTGCCTTAATTTTCTTGGAGAATGTCTGTATGCATTTGAGAGAGAAAGATGGGCAGTCTCCTCTCGTGCCTCTGCAAACCCATGGGAGGGTCCTCTGTGAGTCAGTTCTGACTCGAGGCCACAAAACGACAACTTATAGAGAGACAACTGAAAAGAAAAGTTGCCGTTGAAGAGGAGTGATACGAAAGTGAGCAAAAGACAAACCCTTTTTTGGGGGGTGTAAGTTACTTTTACCTGTAGTCCTCTTTTTTTTCCCCTTTAGTTTTCCTCTGTCCTTCATTTATATTGTACTTGAGATGAAGAGGAAAGTAAAACTTTTTATTATAAAATACATGGGACATTAATAGATAAAGAGGGAGAAAGAACCAAACCCAATCCACTGGGCCCTCCCTTGGGTTTCAGGGGCTATAAATTTTTATGGAAGGAGGCTGCCCACTTTTTCTCCTTTGAAGTAACTGCTGGATCCAAACTGCCAGCCTTTTAGTTAGAAGCAGTATATAAGGTACAGTGTCACCAGTGCTCCATCCATAATAGGTAAGGCACAGACAGGTTTAATTCCTGAATGAACATCTTTAGTTCTGAGAAACAATTTAAAAGAAGGGTTGCCATTGAAGAGAACTGAAATGAACTGATTAAACGACAAACTAGTCTTTTCTCTGACATTATTAGGGAACTCAAGCTTTAATTTTATGCCACTATGTCAAAACCTCACAACAGTAACAATGCATGATATATCATTATTTGAAGCAAATTAAAAATACTACTACTAATAGGGGAAAAAATACTACTTAATTAGCTTACTACTTAAGCTGTATCAGTATAAAAATCTAATTTATAGCTTTTTAGAAAATGGATATTAAAATTAATGTTTTAAAATTAATAGATATTTTTAACTGCCTGACTTTGCCCTTAAGTCACTATAAGCTTGGGATTCATTGTCAGAAACAAAATAAACTTAATTTTTAAAATGAAAATTTAATACATGAGAATATACAATACTGGGGATGTAATATCACTGAATTGTATAGTTGTACACTTAATAATATTTAAAACAGCAGAGTGTTTATGTATTTTAGCACAATTAAATTCTTCAAATAGAATGTGTGTGAATAAAAAGACTAAAATTTATATTGTCAAAGCTAAGTTTTTAAAAAGATTGTTATACTCATGATAATAGCCTTTCTTATTAAGGCTCAAAATCAGTAGCAATAATTTTCCAGTGTATGACTGTATTTATGACTTTGAATGAATTATATTTTCCCTGTTCTTTAAGCAGAGTTCAGATGACGAAGACTGTTCTGCAAAGGGAAGGAATCGTCATATTGTGTTGAATAAAGCAGAGCTTGCTAACTCAGTTGAAGTTCTAGAAAGTTTTAAATTGGCCAGAGAGAGCTGGGAATTGCTCTATTCTTTAGAATTCCTTGACAAAGGTAAGAATGTGCTTGTATTGCCACTTTTTCTTTTTTTTAAAAATACACAAAATAATTATTCTTAAAATATCAAGAATAATAGTTAACTCATGGCCATCAGGTCAGAACCAGTGAATGGGAGGAGATTGCCCTTTGTTCTCTGGCAAAGCCACTAGTGGATTTGACCCACCATGGAGGCACTGCCTGCCAGTGGGTTTGTGGCATAACTTCCTATGGACTAGGCCATGAGAGCAACCAAACAATACTGTTGTTGTTCTTTTTTTTCCCCATGCCAAAATTGCACATGATTATTCATAATAAAAAAGTGGAAATAGTCACTATAGACATCAATGACGCACGGGGAAATAAAATAGCATAGCCAACTGAGAGATATATGCATCAGAGGATTCTTTTTTTTTTT